TACTCATAAACAATATATATATAAAAAAATTATAATTATATATATATATATATATATATATATATTTAGTATATACACAGAATGTCTAGAAATTCTGGTACATGTTCACAAACAAGTTGTTCTCCCAGGCAAGTACACATAACTGTTACATTTTATCTGTAGGTTGGGCCTGCTGACCAAAATGTACAGCCTGAACCCTAAAGCGATGAGTGTGATTGAGCTGTATGGAATCCTGGATCCGGTCACCCGAGATTGGACTGATGGGATACTATCTAACATATTCCGTGACATCAATAAACCCACAGACAAAAAAGAAAGGAGGTGAAAGTCAAGACATATAATGAATATTTAATCTACAATACATCTATTTTAAATCAAAGTCATGTAACTGAACAGAATTCCACCATAACCCTGGCTTGACTTCCCAGGTATATCCTGTTTGATGGAGATGTGGATGCTCTATGGGTGGAGAACATGAATTCAGTCATGGATGATAACAAGCTTCTCACGCTGGCTAATGGAGAGCGAATTCGCCTACAGAGCCACTGTGCTCTGCTCTTTGAGGTATCATGTAAACCCTTCATATTGTCAAAGTAAAAGAACTCAGTGTAACTGTTGTAGGCTTGCAAACATATGTGATGTGTTTTAGGTTGGAGATCTGCAGTATGCCTCCCCTGCTACTGTTTCTCGTTGTGGAATGGTGTTTGTGGACCCCAAAAACCTTCGCTATGCTCCCTACTGGGAAAAATGGGTCAACAGCAGAGCCCTCAAAGTAATACTATTTCTATGCTGCCTTTAACTTAGCCTCAAAATTTCCACTGGCAGTTCTTCAAGCAAGAAGGCTGAGAGCTGTATTTTTTAAAAATTTATATTAGTGATATTCAAGATTATATTTTCAACGTGCCTTTGCTGTGTTAACAGGAACAGGCAGATCTCCGCAGACTGTTTGAAAAGTATGTACCAAGTGCCATTGATATGATAGTGGATGGTATAGTTGATGGTAAACAGACAGAGAAACTGAAGACTGTGATCCCACAGACAGATTTAAACATGGTGAGCGAGTCAGTAGAGACCTGAACAGCGCTACAGTGTAAGGGACCTTTATAGCATGTAGCACAATCCTCTTTTTTCCTTTAGGTGATGCAGTTGTCTGTGATGCTGGAGTCTCTACTGGAGAATGAGGACTTCATTTCTGAGGAGCTGGAGTGTTATTTTCTAGAGGCACTCTACTGTTCGCTTGGGGCTTCTCTTCTGGACAAAGGCCGACAGAAGTTTGACGAGCTCATAAAAAAGTTGTCCTCTCTGAATGGTGTTCATGATGAGAAGGTGCTTGCTGGCCCTGGACAGATTCCAGGTGAGATGGCAGCAGGGTCCAAAAT